TTTTTTTTTATCATCTTTGATAAATAGTAAATGCTGTGAAATGCTCTAAATTTTTTTTGTACTTTTTTGAATTTTTGTAGGCCACCCAGATATCAAAGTTACTTGTAATTTAAATACAGGAATGAAATTATATTTTGAAAGACTTCTTGAATGAAAATAATTAGAATTTAGATTACGCACAAATGAAAACCATGAAAAAGTTTTAATAACTAACTAACTGAACGCTAACAGGCAATTATGAGAACAAAAATGCTAAAAACGCCATTCTAGTAAACCTGACAAAACGATTAAGCGATAACGATGAAAACGATGAAGTAATCGACTAATCAAATGCCTTTATTTATTGAAAAGGCGGTCAGCCAAGCAACAGCCTTCTCTATTCTTAATTCTCTAAATTTCCTCGTTGGATCAGTCTGCGTAGGGACCGAGGGTGTGCGGTATTGGTCCTTGTTAAACTGTGCTACCGTAAAGTGCTCGACTTCGCACGCAGGTCGTCGGGCTACCGAAGCGGGGGTGCCGTCCCTTCCGCAGAGGATCAAAATTGGGATGGCATGTCTTCGGATCATCCTCCGGGATGTTTCCCAGACCGTCGCCAATAGCCCATTGTGCAGCTCTAGTGCGACGTAAAGTAACAACAACAACTAAATTTCCTCGGCATACAAACTGAAATATTTTAACAAATTTATTTAATAAAAGTTTTTTCAATTATGTTTACACTTTTTTCTTATGCTTTGGTTGAACAATTAGGATGGTTTACTTAAGCATGACTAATTTAAGGAATTGAGTTTAGATCTAGATATAGTTAAAATAGACAGCTGGAAACGTTTTCATAAATTTTCTGCTAAAAAAAGTCAGGCAGTGAAACCGGCGCAACAAGTTTATGAGCATTTATAATTAGTATTTGTTTACGTGTAGTGAAATGTATGTAGGGTAGCACAAATAAGCGTGCAAATTAAAAAAAAAAAGACAGACTGTCTTAATTTATAAGTTTTTAGCTGAGTTTGATGATCCAGGGTCAGTATCTTTGATGCATAACATGCTTCTAAAATGTTGATTTATCAGAATTGAAATCTATCATCTACTGAGGTCAGACGTAAACATGTAATCATCAAATCTTCATAAAATAATTATACGCTGGTCGTTAGATTTGTGCAAGATAATTACTAAAAAGATGGATTAAGAGAAAAAATAATTAATCTATTTACAATTAATGTTTTTTATATATTTCTTATTTACTTTAAAAGTTTTTATAATTTAACTTAAGAATGGAGATTCCTCCATCTGAATCGGCATGCAAAAAACTCAAAACTGAGAATGGATCATTAAAGGTATATTTCATGTTATATGTAATTTTCAAGCATTCACTTCACCTTAAAATAACCTTTAAATTATTCAATTATAGATAAAGTTACAAGATCAAGAAAATGGAAATAACATTGAAAAAATCCGTGTTGGGTCGAGAAAAAGCCAAGTATGCCTATTAATTATATATTAATTTTTTTCCTTTGATCTGTTAACATTAAGAAAGAAAATTGGGGAGATTTCCGTATCATGATCTGTGGCAGAATAATCGCCAAATCTCGGCAACTTCTAGGCAGCAGCCTGCGAGAAACTAAGAAAAAACTGGATAGAAAAGGACTAAGTATCACTTGTAGCTACTTCCGGGCAAGCATCTACTTGTTTTTGTTTTTTTTTTTTTCAAAAAATTTGCAAGCTTAAAATCTATTTCGCGATTGTAGTTGTTGCAACGGATATCACAATATGGAAATATTGCCTTGGCAATGGCCCACAAGAAATTAAGAAAACATTACAGAAAGAAACCAACTCAAAATGTATAACTCGTTGCCAATTAAGGGCAAACATTTACATGTTTTGTTTGTTTTTTTTTTAAGAAAAAAATCTGTGAGCTTAAAATCTATTTGTCACTATGGCGATTGTAGTTTGTGCAGCAGATCGCAATACAGTAATATCCTCCAAAATTTTAATATGTATCAATAAGTAAGATTTCCTTTTTAGAAAGACCTGTATATTGTTTAGCTTAGAGAGTAGTAAAAAGTGATACTTTTCGGTTAGCCAGGCACAATCAACTACTTTTTTTTTAATTTATTTTATTTTTATATGTTTATAAGGTCATATTTTTTGTCTTCTTTTTGCTTATGTCCCGTTAATTGAAAAGCAATTAAAAAGTTTGTTAGTTTAGTACAAAACTCGTTTAACTGCTTGAAGGATTAAATATTTTGAAATAAAATTCTTTTACAATACATTTCTGATATAAGCAATAAATATTGCACTATTCATGCAATTCAATTTCATAGTTGTCAACAAAAAGAATGAAGAAATTTTTTTTTTTTTTTTGTCAGATCCTGCCTCAAAATGGTAAATTTGACCCTCTTAATTACATGGAAATAGTTTTAAATTAAGTGGATAGGTTTTGACTGGCCTAGAAAGCAAGTAAAAAAAAAACACTTTTCATTACCTTTTTTTTAATTGAAATTATATTATGTTACCTTATATCCATATTCAACATCATAGCAATTGTTAAAGTGAAGGGAATTTTAACATCTAACCTTTGAGAGCCTGGACTGGCCCAGCTGAATTTAATAAAATTGTAACTGAACTTTTCTGTTCCTATATTTGTTTATAACAGCAGGCTAGATTTCACAGTTATTGTGATGATTCTTTTAAAGCATTGTAAAAGCTATCCAAATATCGTTAGTCGTGCAGAATTTCTTTGAAAAATTATCAATAAAAGTGGGAACATAAATTAGTATTATTAATAACACTTTAAATATCACTCATAATTTTTGATGTTCTATTTAATTCTATACGGTAACTAACAAAAGTTCTAAGATGCCTGTAAGCCAGGCTCGGCAATTTTTTGACAGGTTTATACATGGATCAAATCAAACATCTAAAAGAAGTTTTTATGTTGTGAAAATACTATTTT